GGCAAAGTTTGACACACCAAGCTCAAAAGGTTGCCCATCACTGCCCTATTACCATGTTACCAAGAAAATCAATTCCTTTGAGATGTGGTGCTGGAGAAGAGTTTGGAGGATTCTGTGGACAGCCAAAAAACAAACAAATGGCTCATAGAACAGATCAAACTGAAAACTTTCTTGGAAGCCAAGATGACCAAACTGAGGCTGTCATACTTTGGACACATCATGAGAAGAGAAGACTAATTAGAAAAGACAATCATGCTGGGAAAGGTGGAGGGAAGTAGGGAGAGAGGAAGGCCACATGCCAGATGGATGGATTCTATTAAGGAGGTAATGGGTATGGGTTTGCAGGATTTAAGCTGAGCAGTGTAGGACGGGGACATGGAGATGTCTCATCCATAGGGTTACCATGGATCAAGATTATCTCAAGAGCAGTTAACAACAAATACTGGAACATATATTTCAGATAAAAAAGTACATTACAGGTGATCCTGAGTGATATGAATGATCATTTGATCATTCTTAAAATCTCTGCCAGCAAAATATTAGCTCTGTCAAATTCTACCATGCTGCTAAGTCGTTGAGTATGGCTCCAGAGGCAGACTGTGTATCAATCATAAAATGACCACACAAACTTAATATGGAAAGATAATAATAATAATAATAATAATAATACATTTTATTTTTAACCAAACCCTCTGCTAGGCAAAGAATGGGCAATGAATAACAAATTGCCTATATTAAATATGAAAGGAGTAATTATGTTCTGTGAAGTACTACTCGGGAACCCATCAATAAATTCACAGATCTTTTGGGTATATATTGACATCAGGTCAATGCAATTTGAAGTATATATTTTTATAATCGGCATTAGCCTGGTCAGTGTATACTGAAGCTTCTTGCTAATTTTCAGGTGGTATAGAATGTATTATACTAACAAAATGTGAATGTGGATAAACATAATGAGATTCACAGTGAATCTCACTATGGTTATCCCACTGATAAAATGAACAAAATTATCAAAACTAGCAACGCATACAAGCTATTGACTTGATTACTGAAAAGCAAAGGGAAAAAAGGTTGAAAGTTCAGAGAACAGTTGTGCAAAAGTGGTGGGTTTGATGTCAACAGTGAACAAAGGTGTGAATACTACCCTCTGTGTGTACAGGCTTGTACCCAATAGTGGTTTTGCATGGGCATGGATTATATAACTGAAAGCATTCTTTGTTCACCAGTTTTCCCCTCCCTACTATGCTTCCCTGTGCCTTGTCTTTTCTTATCCCTAACCCTCAGGAGTAACATTGCAGGGGGGCATAGGGAGAAGGCAGTGGGAAAGGGGAAATCAGTAGCAATTAGGTTTCTAGGTCACTCAAAGTTATGTTTATTTGTTGTGTTTCAGGTTATTTTACATGTTTATATATTATGCCTTCATCCCTGGAAAGATTTTAGGGTAACATAAATACAAATGTAATATCCAATCCCATAAAACAAATTAGAGACATTTGAGTCAAAATCACAGACTATTTATGAGCATTAAAATACACATTTTTTAAAATATAAATGTTTAAAATTACTTTTAAATGTCTGTTGAAAATTAAAAAGAAAAATTTTGACCTGGCACTGAAAACTCTACTTTGTCTTTTTGTCATTTCAGCATCACATAAAGATGATCTTAGCCTCTGGGGCATTAAATGGGTAATTCTATTTCTGTAGCATCTTCTGCTGCTGCTACCTCAATTCTCAGATGCTGTTGTTGCTCTCAAAAGTATTTTTATGTTGCCATTATTATTATTTTTTAAAAAAGTATTGTTAGCTTCTTGGAAGCTTGTTCTGAAAGGGAGGCTAGAGGTTTTTCAGAAAGATACATACCTTCTTCAGAGGCACCCATAATTTTAGAAGAATGAATCATAGCCATGTAGAGCCATTCCCTAAGAAAACTATGGTTTTATGATATCTTTGTTTTGAGAGCCCTCCAGTGCTTATCTGCTAAATACATCTCACACAATTTAACTGCTTTAAGCTGATTTTCCATTCCCCATCATTATGTATGCAAGCATATGACAAATCAATCACTTCAACCTGCCAGGGAATAGAGATGTTTTTCTGTAATGTTTGCATGGTTCATAAAATTGTTTGTGTCATTAAGGTGAATAAACAGGAACAGCAGGAACATTGATAGCAACAAACGAAATGTCATCCTTGAAGCATAGAAATGAAAGGATCTGAATACCATGACAAAGAGTGACTTATGGTTCTTTTCAAATGTGGAAAACAAATACTGGCAACTGGCTATTGAGTTTAATAAAGATCTGAACAGGACAGAAGCCTAGAGGAACTTGCACTTTTGCCTCTGAGAGCATTTAAGAATGTGTTGTGTCCAATAACAGACTATTTCTGCACCTGGATTATGATCCTTGGTCAACTGGAATGATTTTAATTCAATTCATTAATTTGTGGGTTGGCTCACCTTCCTCAAATAGGTTCATTGTTCTACTTACTTGTGTTTGCAAGATGAAAATCATTAGCTGAACTGAAATACTTAGTTTTTACTAAAAATCAGTTTAATTTCTGTTGTATTTCTTAGGCTCCCATCTGTACATTTGTACATTTGTCTCATCCAAGTTTCGTATTGGGTTGCAAGTTTTGTTTTCACAGAAATGTGTGCATATTTTGGTGCTATGAATGTATCTTATATGATGGGAAACTAAATGATATGCTGCCATTAATAATCTTTTTGTTGTTGCTGTATGACTCCATGTCATTTTTTTTACCTTCTGGAAACCCTAAAAATTGCACCTATCATAGGGTTTTCTTAGCATGTTTCTTCAGATCAGGTTTGCCATTGCTGCTATACTCTGAAGCTGAGAAAGTGTGACTTGTCCAAGGTCACCAAGTGGGTTTTAATGCTTGAACAGAGATTTGAACCCTGGTCTTCAGAATGATATTCTAGCACTCAAACCACTTCACCATGCTGGCTCATCACATGTATTTCATTTTAAAACTCTCATTTAATACAAATTCATTAACATGAGTTAGCTGACCTCTTTCTCTTGGACCCAAAAAGAATAGGTGAAGCTGCTTATCCTTATTTTTGCTTTTCTCTTACATCACCCATGTGAAGAGTATAAGTAAATACAGCAAATAGGCAGCAACACCCACTTTTAATCTCTGTTTGGGAGGAAAGACTGGACTGTTGTTGTTATATGCCTTGAAGTTGACTTTGTCTTATGGTGGACTATGGCTGATAGGATATGAGATATGACAATGAATAACACCAGCACCAGCAGTTCAACACATACACAGTAGGTTAGGCAGTTGTCATCTGGCGGGTGAGGCATGCACTCCACAAGTACCCAATCATGCTGATGCACAGCTGGCTTCAGACCTTGAAGCTTTGCTTTCTTTTCACTTGATTTATGTCATAGCTGCATCTTTGAGTGATAAGGTACACAAATAATGGCTCCAGTGTGAGTATCTAGCTGAGGGTGTGTAGTCCCCCATTCAAAAGACTGGGCTACAGTGCTGGGTGAACGATCAGAACATAGATGAACAAGCTCAGGGAAGTCATTCTCCCACCCAGCCCAATTTTACTAGCAGCCAATTTGTGGGTATTTAAAAAGAATGAGGGGGACCTTTTTTTGTCTGGGGACCTCTGAGGGCCACAAATATAGCCCTGAGAACCACATGTAGTCAACAGGCCATATGATCACCTCCAATAGACCAATGTTGGGTAAACATATTTTACCAGGAAGAATAACATGGTGCCACTCCTTATCGCATATACAGAAGCCAAATGGACTGACAATTAACTCTTACTTCAGTCTCGATACTGACCAGTGTTCATGTCATCCTCATGTATTACACTTGAGACTCTAATACATAGCTATCAGAGAAAGGGGCCATTTGTTTCCTACTCTTTATCTGACAGCAAAATATCTTCAGCCAATTAGGAAATTTAACAATCAGTCAGAATAGAAAGAAAATGTTTGATCATCCAGAAAAAAACCCAAACTTGGAGAAAGTAGGATATTTCAGGGGAAGGAACTGATAAAGTACCTCTGAATATAAAGGTAAAGTAAAGGTATTCTCCGTTGACAAGGTTGTCACATCGTGTCTGACTGTAGGAGGTGGTGCTTATCTCTGTTATTAAACTGAAGAGCCGGCGTTGTCAGAGACTACTCTGTGATCATGTGGCCAGC